TATATATATATGTATATATAGGTTTATGCAGGGGATTTCAAGTTTGTTTGCTGTCAACAGGAGCCCTGGTGGAACACATGTATGCGCACTGTGAACAAGATCGGCGACCCAACTGATGTGACGGATACCGACTTCTACCAGAGTCGCTTGAAAGGTCTCCAGGGTAAGTTCCTTGAGATGGCCTTAGCATCGCCCTAGCTATGTGCTTCACGAAACAGAAGCATCGCAATCAGCTTTTTCAGAGCTGAGGTTTTGGAGGGGTTTTATAGAGGCGTGTGAGATCACGTGCCCTATCATGATTGCGTGTGTTTGTGTACAAACACACAACTGAAGGGGCCACGCGGCCAGCTACGTGTGACTTTCTGAAATCAGCGCGATTTCGGGGTGAGAAAACAAGTCGTATGTGTCTGACACGCGCTTATTCTGCGAATGCATGCATGCGACTTGATTACACATGGTTCTGTATATTGCCTGCTCTTGGATTTCATGCTGCTCCTGACAGGCTGGACCTGCTGGGCCTATGCCGCGACACAACAATATCAACTTGTGGAAGTTCGGGACAGGACCAAGTGCCCCCGGGTGCATGCCGTTATGATGCTGTTGTTGTGCGATTTGGCTGATGCACATGCAAGCGACTTCCCTGATGTCCAAGCTTCAGGTGTCTCTGTGTGTGTGTGTGTCAGCATGTGTTTAGGCGTGACTGGACTAGTCAGTCTGAAGAATGCATCTGGCGAAGGCCCTTGATTTAGTTGTGACACTGACTAATCAAATTGGGACATGTATGTCTGCATGCACTCAATCAACCCTTCCTTTCCTGGTGCATCATGACGCCCCCGGACTTGGACCTGTTTCTCCGACGACTTTTCGCCCTTCGAGCGCCGAAGGAACCTCGAGTTTAGTAGACTAGAAGGGTGCTTGATGTTTGCACGGGGTTATATATATATAGGGGTTGATAGGATGCAATATATTCATGAATATATATATATAGGGGTTATACCTTTATTGGGGTCTAGATGAGGTTTGAGGATCACTTCGCCATTGTGTCACGCAAATAAAATTTAAAGCTTGTGTGTAAGCTTCTACTTGGGAAGAGGGCTCTGTCACATGCCAAGGTAGGACACATTGACAAGTATGGGGTCTGCAGTTTCTCCAACAAACACTCGCAGGTTCTTGGGGTATTGCATCTTTACACCACTTTGTGAGTCTATCTACATGCGGCTGCATTGTTTCCGCATGCAAAGGCAGCGATTTGGAGTTTAAGGGATTTCTGTGGGGCTTATATATATAGGGTGAATATGAAAGGGTTTACAGGGCTTGAAAACCCCATACATGCAAACCGGAACCTATATGAACAACAAAATGGGCCCGTACTATATACATATATATACCCTGTACAAGGACCCCATATATGTATATGAATACCCCTATATATATATATGTACTGTAGCTACACACCTGCAAACCAATTAATAGGGAACCCTTACTTACAGAAATCTTCTTAGCTATCCAGACATAAACAGATGCTGGACCTCAGCAACCCTTAAATTTGATTCTACAGAAGAACACATGAGAAAACCCACCTCAATCTGTACATCGAGAACACGTACAATCACCAACCCATCCTGCTTTATGCTCTGCATGGGGTTCTGGCTTTTCGGAAACCTGTTTGTACAAACAATTTCTCAAACCTTATATATATTTAGACCCTATATACATAAAATGTATATATACGCATCCTCTATACAAACCCTTAACCCTACATATGTAGAAATGGCGAATGCTGTATACATATAGCTTTCCCCAACCCAATACAATCAAGCACCGGATCCCCAAAGTGGCCTGTATCATTCCTTTACTAATCAAGAATAAAGTCAAGGGATCTGCGGATGACTCCGGATGATCGTTGTCGACATACCTCCAGCTCATGAGGGAATGATTGATCCATGCAGGGTTGTGCGGAACTTATGCAAATGTGAATTATACCTTCGCGGGGGGGGGATCCTAGCTAGCTAGGTCTTAAGAAAGTCAACCCTTTGCCCCTCTTAGAAAGCCAACCCTTTGCCCGTCTACCTGGAGACCCGTTCCCAGGGC